TTCGATCCCCAGGCACCGGTGAGGGTCCCACATGGCGCACAGACCTCTCCTGCCACCCACTGCTCCCCTCAGCAGTGTACTTATGTCCTTCTGCCTGTTCTGCTCCCCGCTCTGGCTCTGGTGAATTCTCTCACCCTCCCGCACTTCTGACTGTACCCACCCAGTGCTTGTATAAACAAACAAACAAATAAATAAATAAATAAATCTTTAAAAATAAAATCAAATATATTTTGCATGAATATAAGATATGTATATATGTGTGAGTGTATATATCTATTTATCCAGATATATCTATCCATATATATATGGACATATATGGATAGATAGATATAGATTATCTATCTATAGAGGTGCAAACAGTGCAATGGTGGAAAGCCAAGAAAGGCTGTGTTGTTTTATATAATCTACAGTTTCTTTCTCAATCACAAATTAAGCATCTGACCTACTTTCCGCCTTCAGGTTCTAGCTAACTTGTTTTCAGGGAGTGTAAATTTTCTTAGGAATTGATGCCAGTAAAAGGTTATTTGACAAGTAATTTTTTGGGGGAAATTATATATAGGTATGTATATTACATACACACAAACACACATACACAGAAACACATAGATGGACTCAGAAGTTAAATACCTATATAAATGTGTGTATGTTTTGTATACACACAGACACATACATACATAATTTATTTCCTTTGTGATATTATCTCTCTCATCATAGTTAATTGTGGAACTATATTTACAATTAACATTTGTGTTTCCATATACAAAATGAAGGTAGATCTCTTATATGCTTCCTGTTCTTTTAAAAAAGTATTTGCATCTTAAAAGGATTTTGTAGACATCTTTAGGGACAGTATCTGTAGTTGGTTTGTGGTTGATTTATATTTTCATTTTAACCTATTATTTATAGGTTACTTTGTAAACCCCCAAATTCAAAATGTAGATCATTTAGAATTTAAGATCAGTAGTATGGACATTTGGGTCTTAGAGAACACAATTAAGACAGCATTCTAAACATTTAAGGGGAAGAATCTTGAAGTCATATCATAATTTCTTTTTTAATATTTTTCAAAAAGTAACTGGCTTCACAAACACCATCTATAACATGATTTAGACAACTGGAAACAGGCAAGTATATTTTAAAATGCCAAAATAAAACACATTTATACAAGTACAAAGTGAAACAATACTGATAAAAATGTTAAACTTTATGAAAAAAATCATTTGCAATTCACATCAAAATAATTTAACATTCTCTATTGTTTTAATAGTACAAGCTGCAACAACAGAAAAAGAACAGATACACGCACACAATTTTAAAACCGAATCAGTTATAAGTGCAGAAAAAATAAGTACAACCACTTGTAGCCCACACAAATCTTTTAGGATTGGCACCATCTCTCTAAAACATCTATATTCTATATAGATTTCTAATTACAACACCACCAGCAGCTGCCATAGAATTCTAGAAATACACACAATATACATAGTATATTTGTTCACATTGGGAAGATCAGTGAAATTCAGCCAACTATTTTATGCATGCCTCATTCTTTAACAGATCACAGAGAATCTCCCAGGCCTCAGACCCTCTCTAATGCGAATTCTGACTTATCTTTATGTTTTTCACTGATCTGTATTTTTTCACAGTATAAAATTGTAAATGGTAACTATAGGGAATCTGACAGCTTGAGGGTTATTAATAAGCTGTGGCTAAATGTGAACTCAGATACCTCTGAAGTCTCCAAAACATGTACATTTTTGCTGGGAGACTAGCATAGGAATTTTTTTTTTCTTTTTCTTTTTTTTCTTAAAAAGTGTTTAGTTCCCGGTTTGGAAGTCACAGAATCGCAGCAGAGCTATTACACAATTCATTTACAGTTCAAAATAGCTCCTAGTCTTCCTGATAACTTGCTGGTAACAGCAGCAGCTTGAGAAAGACTGTTACTATTAAAGATTAGCACATTCAGGGATTTGCTTTTTCTCTTTGCTTCAGTCACATCTCATGTGATTTTCCTTTCCAAACACCCTTTCTTTCCCCCAACCCTACGTCAGATTGCAGGTTCTTCTCAATCCCAGTATGATCTTCTCAGGCTGTCCCCACTCTCCCCACCCCCCAAACACACACACATAGAAGAGTGGGCTGCTTAGTCTGATCTGATAGTCTGTATAACTCGATCAAACCAGGTCTTCTTTTCACATCCTGGGACAAAACTGTCCTTTAGGGCCACTTTTCAGAAACTTGTTTCACTCTGCTGCCCACTTCCACTTAGTCATTCTGGTCCCAACTGAATTATCACTGGGCACCAGGAACAGGTTGTTTTCAAGGAAATTCAATGAAATAGGTACCCAAATGAATTGTGAAGTTCATAGCCTAGCCCTAAAAAGAATATTCAGTTCTCTTTGTATTGTAGATTTATTGTTTGGAACCTGGTTTTAGAGTTGGCAAAGAGACAGAGTTAGCATCATTCCAAAATAAAAGATCCCAAGAATGCATTACTGATAACATTATATATTATACAATATGTTGAGTGAAGTGGATAATAGAAATACAGAGCAAGTTACATCTTGTTTTCCTCTAATTGAATAAACTATTTCCTTATAATAAATAATTATAATTTTGTATGGAATTATCAGGGGGTAAGTTATTTGCATTGTGTTAAATTCTAATCAGTTATCTCATAAGGTAATGCTCTTTTTAAAGAAATACGTAACTGAAAAATTAGAAAAGGAATTTCATCATGGAGAAGGTTTTAAAGATGTTCTTTTATTGGTCGATGAAGTGAGAATAAAATGGAAACCAACATAAGGAATTTATGGAACAATTTTTAAAACTTACATAGGAAAGCATATTTTATAAGGTTTCAATGCCTACCAAATCCAAACAGTAATTCCCAGGAGACTGCCATCCTTTTGATGAGGGTTCAGGGATTTTAATACTTCAAAATATTTACAATTGTTTTTCAAGTAGAAGCAGACATTTGCTATCAATGAAACAATAGACTAAGCCGTATTCACTGTTTTAAATCTGTTAATATTTGGGAAAAGGTGCTCTGTGATGTTATTTTCAAATTTGGCAAGGGAGGTTTCATTTCTTTTAAATTTCTATCTTAGAAAATTTATGTGAGCTGTTAATCTTTTATACTTGGATATTTAATTTAAAGTTAAATATAAGAACAGATATCAGGAAAGACAAGCAGCATATATATTTGAACTTTTAAAAGTGAGGAAATGATAAATTATGCCAATGGATATATTTCCACTTCTCAATAACCTTTTAAAAATAGATGTGAAATAAAAAATACATAACAAAATAAGGATATCAAGCAAAAGGAAAAAGGTTTTATTTATTTTTCTCTCTGCCAAAAATATACTTCTGCCTCACAGAAAATCTTTTTCATAAGGCTATCTTTAGTGTAAGGCTGGGTCAACTGAACTTTAAATTTATAGGACACCTCCTCCTTTTATTACTATCCTTATTTAAAAATCAAAAACATTTGGCACCTGAGGATAGTTGTAATGGGAGGAAGAAAGATGACAGTGGATGCAGGTCTTGAGCTATGAATTCTACCCATATTAACCTATCAAAGCACATGTATTCTATTATAACTTTAAATCTCTTATTTGCAATATTTCAAAAGTGACAATATGAAGTGCACAAAATTATATTAATAATTATCTTAAAAAGGAAAATATTAATAATTGTTTTGCTTCTTTTTGGAATGGCTAAGAAAGTGTGTGGTTCTATTCAATAAGGTTCCTCTGATTTAATATTCTGTATTGCTTTGAGAAATCTACATTTGTCATAGTTTATAGCTGCCCTGCTTAAGCAGCCAAGAAAAAATAAAATCACTGATCACTGGCATAGCTAAATCTCTGCTAAGTTGACTAGATGCAATTTAAAATTTCCAGCGTGTTATGTTAAGTTTTGAACAACAGTCCCTCCAATGGTGACAGTATCTTCATTGGGTCCATGGACCATTTTTCCAGTGGGAACTGAAAGAAAAAAACAAAACAAACAAATTAAAAAAAAAAAAAAAAGGAGCTCTTTGTGCATCAGGTTCTGAAAAGAAAGGAATGAAGAAGTCCAAAAGCATATTTTATTTAATATTTTAGCTGGCAATGCTAAGGGGAGAGCAATCACAAGGAGGAGTGGCCACTTTTCATGAAAGAAATAGCCAAGCTGGAGCTCAAGATTATTATGGAGAGAATTTCCAGCTACACTACGCACCCCATGAGGGAATTACAAAACAGTTCCAGAAAAGTTTTTTTTTTCTTTTTTTGTTTTTGTTTTTTTTTTGCTACTCCAGTATTGATTGGCAACATGGTGAAATAGTCAAATCTTCCACTGGTTTTCTTAGTTAATGGAGGTGAATTGAATTAACTAGGTGGAATCCCGGATGGAGGATTTTGGAAGAGGATTTCACAACCAATTTGCAAAGAAAAGTCTGTGGTAAAAGCCCTACATACGCCAGCACAAAGCTCAAGATCCAGTTGCGTGTTCTGCCACATCACTGCTTTTCAAGATCTTTCAAGAAAAATTAAAAGAGGAAGAAGGAAAAGAGAAAGGTTGATGTTTTGGTCCCAGATTTTAAGTTTGTTAGAAAATGTACATTCATGTTTGGTGAATCAAAGAATCTTCTGGGAAAAGAATTAAAGTAAACAAAATTTTTTTACAGTTGCTTATTTACTATGCTTTTCTCCTGCATTATGCCGTCACATACTCATTGCTTTCCTAGAGCGATGCGATGCACTTGTTATGTCCCTGTTTGCGCAGCCCCCTGCCAGCCCTCAAAAATAGAAGCAGTGTTTCTTGAAAGCCCATGTTTTCTAAGGCCACTAGGAGAAAATCTGCCTAAAGATCTGTAATGGGTGTCTTCATCGGTTTGTGTTGCCCAGCACTGGTGCCGGGGTGCGCTGCTCTCCCACCGAGGGCCTCTATGGGGTCTGGCTCTGCTTGCGCGAAGGTGCGCTCCGGCCGGACCCGTCGGGGTCGCCAGGGGCTCACAGCGATGAGGAGCTCTGGGTGTAATCTCTGATGACGAGCGTGTCATACTTGGGCGAGGATGGGATGCAGAGGGCCGACTCGGACACCGGTGAGTTGGGGGCGGTGCTCCCCGAGCCCAGCGAGTCTCGGAAGGGGGACGGCGGCGTGAGGGCCACCAGCTCCTCCAGGTCGGCCTTGGCTCCCACAGACTCGCGCCCGGTGGCTGGGGTGTCCCGGGCAGCACCGCCCGAGCCCTCGACGGCCGGCGGCGGCGGCTGGACCTCGGCGAAGGTGGTCACGGTGCTGGGCAGCTGGATCTCCCTGGGGATCAGGTAGGACGAGCAGAGCGCGGCGCCCCCGCCGGGCCCCTGGGGCGCGGGGGGCAGCATCATGGAGTTGAGCTCGCTGATGTTGGCCGTGAAGCGGGTGACCACGCTGCTGATCTGCTCCAGGAGCGAGGCCTGCGAGGAGCCGCTGCGCGCCGCGGGCCCTGCTGGCAGCGATGGCGCGTCCTGGTCCGTGTGCCCCACCGGGCTCGCGGGGGTGCCGAGCGCGCCGAGGGGCGCGGGGGGCGCGGGGACAAGCTCCTCCGGCTCCGCCACCTCGCGCAGCGCTGTGGGGCTGGCGTCGGGGCCTCGGGCCCCCCGGGACTGGCGCCCGCGCCGCCGCCGGGGACACCCGCGCCCGCGCCCAGGCCGCGGCTCTCCGAGCCCTTGGGGAACGGCCTGATGACGGCGGTCTGGTTGGGGCTCTCCTTCCTGTTGATGTGCACCGACAGGCGCTGCCACAGGTGCTGGCCCCGGCTGCTCTTCTCATTCGCGGCCCACGTGACGGACTTGCCATTGGAGCTGCGGGGAGAAGCAGAGGAGAGTGACTGGGGCGCAGAGGCTCTCCCCGCGGGGCTGCGGGGTGGGGCGGGGCGGGGAGGGTTTGCTAGCTCGGGAAATAAGGCAGCAGAGGGACAGCATGGAAAGGGCCTTGGGGAGAGACTTGTTAGCTGGCTTTGCTTTGAGTTAAAACCTTTTTTCGGGCCTCCCTCATGGCACACGGGTTAGGAATCAGCCCTATGAGGCTACCGGCAGCCTCTGCAGCGCGGGCTCCAACCCCGGCAGGGGAGATACCCACATGGCGCGGCAGACCTCTCCTGCCATGCCTGTTGCTCGCCTCATCAGTGTACTTTGGTCAGTCTGCCTGTTCTGCTCCCCGCTCTGCCTCTGGGGAAATCCTCTCACCCCCCTCCCCCAACTTTAGCCTGTCCCCTGGCCCTTGTGTGCATGAATAAATAAATTTTGGGCCTCCCTGATGACACAAGGGGTTAATCACCGCACTATGACGCAATCCACAGCCTCTGCAGCACAAGTTCTATCCCTGGCCTACCAGGGAGATACCCACATGGTGCAGCAGACCTCTCCTCACTTGCCCACTGTTCCCCTCAGCAGTATATTTCTGTCAGTCTGCCTGTTCTGCTCCCTGCTCTGTCTCTGGTGACTCCTCTCACAACCACTCCCACCTTTAGCCTGTCCCCTGGCTCTTGTGTGCATAAATAAAACAAAAAATAAATATTAAAAATATATATTTAGTCTTCCATTTGTCATTACCAGGTAAGTTTGACAAAGGGGATAAAGACATTTAATTTGGATCCTGGGGTAGTTTTCAGCTGCTCTACAAGCTGATGCTGCAAGCATGGAAGGCAGGGCTTGCAGTCCTGGGTTGAGATGCGCGAGCGCCTGAGAGAGGACAAGGGCTTCTGAAAGTTGGCAGCCTCTGCAGGAAACAGTAGACTCCAGGGCTCATCTCAGCAACGCAGTCACCAGAGGGAGGGAAGTGGTGAGAGTACCTCTCCGGGGGTATACCATGGTGCCAGCTCAGGTTTTCTCCCTGGTGCTGATGCTTAATGTGTTTACCTAGGGATATCTCATGACTGAACGCCTGCCTGTGAACATGGTTTTACTGTCTGAGTTCTCTGTTGGAAAATACAAATTCAGTGAACACACACACAAATTGCTAATTCATTAGAACTCTTCTACTTTACTGAAATTCTCACGTACTTATTTTAGGCCTAAAACTTGAATGTGTAGTTAGCAGCTAACATGACCCTCAAATTAGGTCTTGATAAGTGTCATCTGACTGATGTGACTTCTTAGGATGTTCCCCTCTTCTGTTTCCCAAAAGTTCTTTATGGTCTCAGAGTTGTGAAAACTGCTATGATGAGGATGCGGCTGGTGCCCTCCTGACAGCCTGATGTAACCTCCCCAGTGAAAATGACACAGCAGCCCCTGAGACCACAGATCCTTTAACAACAAGGGCTTCATGCATGGTGGGGGTCTACGGCCTGCCCTTCGGGGATCCTATATGGAAAGATCCTGGTGTGATTGCCTATCACAAGAGAATGTGTGATTCCTGTAACTAGGGAGTTGGTTCTATCCACACAGCTTTGTCTGCTCTAGGTGTTATGATCAAGTAATATCCTTGGGCAGTCTGTGTACAAGAGGCTGTGACGAACCAGTGTTATCACCTTAGCCAGAGACTCTTAACCTTAACTGTGCATGAAACTTATCTAGAACATTTGCCCAACAGGCCAGGCCTTACCCCAGGAGATTCTGATTATTCAGACTGGGCTCCAAGGGTTACCGGTTTTATAAGCTGCTGTCTCACTGCTTCCCAGAGTGAGGCTGAAGCAGTTGGGAGCCTCAAGTTGGGAGCCTCTAACAGGAATCTACCCTTTCTCCCAGGGTTCTCATTGGCCCTTTGGCCTCTTGCTAAAGGATGGACCTGCCTTTGCTAGGCAGGAGCCTGAATTGTCTTTAGGGCCCACCTGTTTTTGGACTCCCCTGCGGCAGCTAGCAAATTTCTCCTCCTGAGATGTCTGCTCCCCTAATAACAGCCCACTTTTTTCGTATCCTGTTTCCCACACTGCTTCCCATTTCCTCACCCGTCCCTTGCCACTTGTGTGTTCTTTCTCTAAATCCTCATCTCACTACTCTAATATATTAAATGTAGTGGTGTAGGGTAAGTGAAGAAATCATCAGGCTTTTCTGCCCTCCCACCATTAGCGTTGATGGCGGATCCCTGTGGTCCTACACGCATGCCTGATGGCGGGCACCTGGAGTGGGGTGTGGGCATGCATAGGTGGTCACACCTGTGCTGCCACTGGACTTATAAGGGCAGCGTCACGGGGACGCCAGCAGAACAAGAGCAACAGAGAGAAAGAGTAGCAGAAGAGAATGAGAATCGGAGAGGAAATGCCAGAGAACCCAGAAAGCGTGAAGGCTTCCAGGAGGCTGAGGACCCGCCAGCCTCCTGGCCCCAGGGCACCCCTGCCTCCCATGTACCTGGTAAAAAGCCCAATAAAATCCTGAAAAAGCCACCGAGGCCTCCAGGAACCGCCTTTAGCCATCTGCTCAGATCATAAAGATCCTGCTCTGTGCCCTCCTGGCACTACAAGTGGCCTTCAGAATTCTGGGATATGAGATGTCCTCCAGCTTGGCTGCACAGGGTGAACAAATTATTACCAGGAGTGGAGGTTGCTGTGTGTTCCCAGTAGCAGAGGGGGCCTGGCCAACCTGTTAACTTTCCCTTCCCGGAGAGTTTCAAGATTTGTTTTTTTACATTTTCCATTGAATTGATCTGCCACGTTATGTCTTCAGTGAGCTACTTTTCTGCTCCCGTGTGTCTACTGACTTCTGGAAGATGGCACAGGATAAATGGACAAGGTTTTTATGGGGTTTGATTGGGAGGATGGTTGACAACTACCCCTTTCTCTTGTACCAGCAGGATAAGAAGCGGGCACGTGGGGTAGGGCAATAAGTCTTTCAGGTCTTGGAGACCACTTTTATTATAAAGCATGGGCTAGAAGCAGACCTGAGTATTTTTCGAAGCTTTACTCTAGGGAAGTTTTAATCACAGAAGTAATATTAAGAGTGACAGTCTTGGGCCTCCCCTGGTGGCGCAGCGGTTGAGCGCTGGGTTGTGAAGCTGCCCGCAGCCTCTGCAGCGCCGGTTCAATCCCCGGCCACTGGGTGAGGGTCCCACATGGCGCGCAGACCTCTCCTGCCGCCCGCTGCTCCCCTCAGCAGTGTACTTCGTCAATCTGTCTGTTCTACTCTCCCCTCTCGCTCTGGTGAATTCTCTCACCCTCCTGCGCTTCTGACTGTACCCAGTGCTTGTATAATAAATAAATCTTTAAAAAAAAAAAAGAGTGACAGTCTTTGGAATCACATACAGACATGCTCAAAAACATTGAAAAGAGTTTGCACTTCACAAAATGTTGACGTCTTTCAGAGCTGTGCCTTTGCTCACAGAGTTCATGGTCGTGTGTGTGTGTGTGTGTGTGTGTGTGTGTGTGAGAGAGAGAGAGAGAGAGAGAGAGAGAGAGAGAGAGAGAGAGAGAGGGAGGGAGCGCACACACATCAAATGAGCTGTATAGCAATGGAAATGGATAGAGGAACCACCAGAGAAATGGAGTCTAGATTTGAGTACTTAGTTTCATGGACTGTAAAACATACATTTTCTCCAAAATTAGAACTTAAAACAATGACTTAACATCAGTCTCTTTATTGGTAGAATGCAGGGTGTCTCAGCTAGACAAGGGTCTTAGCTATCTGGTTCAGTGGCTTCTAACAAGATCTTAACAAGCATTTAGCAGATGAAAAGGGTTTTTATGCCAACAGGGCACTGTGTAGTGTCCTGGAAAGTGCACTCCACAAAGGACCCTGGAACCCAGGTTCTAATTCTGGGTCTGTCATCTGAGGTTCTTAGAAAGATCATCTTTTTAAGTCTCAATAAGAAGCAAACAGTGTTTCATTTGGTCAAGGTTGTTGTGAGGATTAAACGAGACAATGGTATAAAAGGGCCTGGCAAGGAGAGGCATTTGAAAAGCATGTTAGCGTCTGCATTCCACATGGGTAATTCACTTCATGCTATTTTGAGGTCTTGTTTGAAGGACAGAAAATTCAGTACAGAGTGAAATATATGGTGAAGCTACAAAGTCTTTCTGCTTGTTCCTGTTTTACCTGACAGACTGCGAAAACGTTCCGTACTAACTTTTCTTAGTCTAAGCTATCTCTTTGGGTGATGGCATTTACTCCACAAACTCCAGGTTATAATTCTATATTTTACCGAAGTGATCCTTCTCTGTGTTCCCTCCTCCTTTTGCCCAAGCACTTCTTGTTATTTATTTGGATTGCCTTTTTTTTTTTTTTTAAGGATGATTTCCTGACTCCACCCCTGGCTTCCCTGACTAAGATAGAATTCCTTAGTTCCTGCATTGGGCCTTTAATTATGCTTTGCTCTGTGTGCCTCTCACCTGCTGAATGGGGTGTGTGAAGGCACAGAGGGTTTGGTTATTTTCTGTTGAGGCCACAGTACGCAGCACATTCCCTAAAACACAGTAGGTGCTCAATAATATCTTTTGTCTAAAAATTGAGTGGGTAAATGCACTTAATTGTTTTTCTGTTAGAATTAAGTTTTTAAAAAATAATTCAATGAAATTCTATCTTTTATCTTATTGATCTACCTACTTTTTAAATCTCACTGTAATCAGTAGTACTCAGTGCATACAGATGAAAGATTTCATTAACTACATACGGATGTTGATATCTACCATGAAAATCACAATGGCAGTGTTCATTCCTTTTTCTAATTCTCATGCATCTGTTTGATGAAACGTCTCAGTGATGAGAGCTCATGGAGGCAGGATGCGTAATGGGAAGGAGAAAGGACCAGAATACAGGTGTAACCTCTAGACCTACATGACATTGCTGAAACCCTTTGAGCCTCTTTGCTTATTGGAAAAAATAGCTACACATGATTCCTGGGAGGAGCCAAACAGTAATACACATAAGGGAAC